CAAAATAATACCATCAATGACTTTCTCCGGACAGGTGCCATGTGTATGCCTCCCCTCGCAGGGGCGCGCAGAAGGGAGCGGAGGAGAGACCCGGGCAACGGCCCGCCCCCCCCCCCTACAGGAGGGGCGAGGGCTCCGGCGTGGCCGGGCCCCCGAAGGCCGGGCCCTTGCGCCGGACAAACGTCACGGCCCCCCGGCCCGGGCTGGCCGGCGCCGCGTACGACGGCCCCCCCGCCGGCAGCGCACCATAACGCCCGGCGGCCGGCTCGGCCTCCCGGTGCTGGTGCACCGACGCCAGGGCCCCCTGGAAGGCCGGGCTCGCGCCCAGCGCCTGGTTCAGGGTCGTCATGGACCGGTTCAGCTCCAGCAGGGCCAGCACCAAGTCCCGCTGGGCCGGCAGGTCCCCCGGCGCGGGCAGGCTGCCCGGGCCTGGCGCCAGCAGCTGCTGGCCGCCCGCCGGCGAGGGGGACCCAAGAATCCCGGCCGGGCCCGGCGAGCCCAGCAGACCCCCCGACCCCGGGCATGGCGTCCAGTCCGCCGGCCGGGCCAGCTCCCCCGGGCCCGGCGCACCGGCCAGGCGCCCCGGATCGAGGGCCCGGCCAAAGTCCGAGCCCTCCACCCGCGGCGGCGACGCCCCCAGCCGGGGGCTCAGCCTCCGGCTCAGCAGGCTGTCCGTCAAGGGCGACCGGTTGCGCCCGGCGCTGTCCGGCGAGTCCGGCAGCAGGACAATCCGCGGGGGGGACTCCCCCACCCCGGGCGAGGCCGAGTGCGACCCGGCGCCCGGGGCCCAGCCCGACCCGGGATGCCGAGCGGGAGCGGCCTCCGCCGGCAGGGGCGCCGGCCGCGGCATCCGCTCGGCCACGGCGGCCCCTGCTCCGGCCGGCGATGCCGGTGGGCCCGCGGCCCGCCCCCAGGCGGGGCTTGCCACCGAGCCCAGATGCTGATGGGGCGATGGACGCGCCGGGGGCTCCGGCAGCGGGCCCAGCTCGGCGGCCCGCCCGCCCCACACCGGGGCCGGGGGGGAGGAAGGGGGCCCACGCGGGGCCTGGCCCCAGGCCGGGGCCGCTCCCGGCTCCGGCCCCTGGGAGGCGGCCGACGCGCGCCGCTGCGACAGCCGGCTGTATGGCGACAGGAAGGCCGAGCTGTCGACCCTGCTGCCGGCCGCCAGACCCGCGGCCGGGGACGCCAGGTCGCTGGCCCATTGCGGCCGGCCGCCGCGGAGCCGCTCTTGCACGGAGGCGTGCGTCGATGCCGAGGGAGCTACGCGCGCGCCCGGGGCGCACATATCGCGTGGCAGACATGGAATGCACGATACACACGACAAGCACGAGGAAGGCGACAAACACGAGAAAGGCGACAAACACGAGAAAGGCGACAAACACGAGAAAGGCGACAAACACGACAAAGATGACAAACGCACAAACACAACAAACATGACAAAAGCACAAACACACAATCGCACAAACACGACAAACACGACAAACGCACAAATACACACACACACACACACACACACACACACAAGGCAGCGCCGTGACCACAGGCAAAGGCAAGCATCGTCAGTAGCCGGAAGGGAAAGAAAGGAGAGCAGGCAAGGCACGGAGCCGGGCAATCGGGAGGCCATACCCTCTGGTGCCGCCGGCAGCGGCGACAAGCCCTCCGCCGGGCCGGCGCCCACGCGCGGCAGACGCCCACGACGAACACGCCCCCGCACGAAGTCCGTATTCCAGGGGGAGGCCAGGGCCGCGGCGCGATCGTCCCCGCACGCCAGCCAGTCGCCGGCGCTCGGGGACGCCCGGGCCCCGGCCTCCAGGCGAGCCACCGCCCCCGGGCCGCCGGCCAGCCGGAAGGACACCACCGCACACCCGGTGGCCAGGACCACGCTCCGACTGCCGGCCACATAGGAAATGGCCACCGGCGCGTCGCGCCGCGCAAACAGCGGCAGCCGCACCGCCCCCGGGCCCCGGGGCAGCGACGAAAAGAGCGTCCGCCCGGTGGCCAGGCACACGCACCGCGCCTCCAGGTAGTACTGGTCCTCCACGCACGGGCTCACCAGGGCCACCAGGGCCACGGTGCCGTACACGCGGAAGTCCGCCACCGCCAGGCTCGGCCGCCCGGCCGACGGCCCGCCGCCCGGGGGGGCCCCCCCATCGCGGTCCGAGCCCAGCCGCATTTGCCGCACGGCCGCCAATGCCCGGAGCAGGCCGCGCGTCAGGGCGGCATCCTGGCCCCCGGGCAGGGCGGCCCCCGGGCCCGGGTCCGGCCGGACCCGGCGCCGGTCCACCTCCCCCAGCACCCGGCCGAGGCCCGCCAGGTCGAACGTCCGGACCAGGCCACACACCGACACCGTGTGGCACCACGCCCCGGCCAGGGCAAACCGCCGCACCGGGCGCCCGGTCACCAGGCGCCCGACAAACCGCACCCCCGGCCCGCCGGGACTCGTGGCCAGCACCAGCACATGCCCCTGCACCAGCAGCAGCAGCAGCAGCAGGTGCCCCTCCTGGGCGAAGCCCAGCTGCGAGGGCGGGCCGGCCGCCGGGGGCCCGCCGCCACCGGACCTCGGCGACCCGGGGCACTCCCCGGCGCCGGGGCCGCCGCCCGCGGCCCGGCCAGCCCCATGGCCACCGTCCTCCTCGGCATCGCCATCATCGGCCCCGAGCCCGGGCGCTTGGAGTTCGGTCGCCAGCTCCGCCAGTACGGACGGGATCTCGGCCGACTCGCCGAGCAGCCCGCCCCCCGACCGGAAGGGGCTCCAGGCGTGCGCCTCCGACAGGGGGACCGCCACCAGCGACTCGGCCCCGGCGCCGCGCGCCAGCCGGAGTTCCTGCACTCTCAGCCGGCCGTCGATGTCCACCGAGGCCACGATCAGCCGCGAGTCTGGTCAAATGCGACCGGTCGGTTGGGCAGGTAGGGGGTTAGGGAGGCAAGTAGGCAAGCAGGCAAGTAGACAGACAGCTAGCCAGCCACTCGAGCAAGCACAGCCATGGCAGACAGACAGCCACTCGAGCAAGCACAGCCATGGCAAACTGCCAGACAGCCCCCATCCGGGGCAGGGAGCAAAGGCGGATCGCCGCAGGCAGGCAGGGGAAAAGGAGGAAAGGAGCAGAAAGAGGGCCACACATGACCCTCCCCGCCACGCAGGCCCCGGGGAGGACGCACCATTCACATGGATTTCGCATGCGGCCACCGGCCGCGGATGGGCGTCCTCCTGCTCGAAGAGAACGGCCTGCTCATCGCCGGAGAACAGCCTGCCAAGCACGGGCGCGGTTAGCGCATGCCAGCGTGCGCTCGCACAAACAGCCGACACCCGGGCGAAGGAAAAGGGGGGGAAAAAAAGCAGAAAGAACACCGCCGCCCCCCAGGAAGGGAGGGGGGGGGGGAATGACGCACACCAGACCGCCCGAGCGCAGGCCGGCCAGCACCAGCGGCACCGCGCCCGCGTCATCGACATCCTCGGCCCCGGCCGAGCGCGGCCCCACCAGCAACTCACGCAGGGACTCCGCCAGGGCCGCCATGGACCAGGGCCCGGCCGCGCCGGGGGGGACCACCTCCGACAGGGCCGCCACCGGGACGGCCGCCTGTGCCAGGCAGGTCACCCCGAAGGCGGCCCCGGGGCCCGGGCGCCCGGCCGCGCCATCGGCTCCCGGCTGCCGGGCGGCAAGGGCCCGCGCGGCGTCGACCGCCGCCCCGGCCAGCCGCCCGAGCAGGGGCGACGCCGGCCGCACACCGGCCGTCATCTCGGCCACCGACCGGTCCCATGCACGCCACAGGGGCGTCACGCCGTCCGGCGGCCGGTCCGATGCCGCATCCGGCCACTCGACCGCCGCCAGGCGCCCGGCCGCCAGCGACACATGGACCGGCTGGCCCGGGGCCAGGCGCCCGGGGCCGCCCGCGCCCGCGGCCTCCGGCCCGGCCACCACCGCCGACCAGCCAGCGGCCCAGGGCCACCCGGCCCCGGGGTCCGGCAGGGCAAGCTGCCGGACCGCCCCATCCGCCCCGGCCAGCAGCGGCCACCCGCCGGCAGGGCATGGGCCCGGCACCGCGGCCAACACCCGCGGCTCCTGCACCACATCCACCGGGAAGAAGCCGGCCTCCACCGGCGTCGACACCGCCAGCCGGGCGCCCTCCGGCGTGTGGACATCCGCCAAGTGCAGGAAGTGGGCATCGGCCCGGTCGGCCGCGCGCGCGACCAGATGCTGCCCCGCCGGCCCGGCGGCCGTCGCCACCGATGGCCCCGCCAGCCGGACCCCCTCCACCACCAGGCGCCCGGTCAGCATGGCCGACAGGCCCCCGGCATCGGTCACCTCCAGGAAGGTGACCACCGCCGAGGCCGCCGCCGCCGCCGCCGAGGTCGACGCCGCCGCCGGGGCCGCCGCCGCCGCCGCCCGGCGGGGCAGCCGCACCGCGGCCTCGGCCAGCCCGGACAGGAGCCTCGGCAGCAGGGCCCCGGGCCCGGGGCCGGCCCCGGCCGGGGCCTCGCCCGGGGCCGCCCCCGGGACCAACGGCGCCAGGTCAAGCTGCCGCCAGTTGGCCAGCAGCGGCAGGTCCGCCAGCAGGACCGTGCACCCCCGGGCCACGGCCACCACCGACCCGCTGGCCGCCACATGCAGGCAAAGCCCGGCCAGCAGGCCGGCGCCCGAGGCGGCCCGGCGCTCGGCCGGCTCCTCCGCCCCCCCGGGCCACGGCAGATGGAACCCCACGCAGCTCGGCCCCGGGCCGCGGCCAAAGCGCAGCCGGTCAAAGTGCGCCCACCGCCGGGGGACCGCCACCGACAGAACCTGCCCGCCGGCCGTCAGACACAGCAGCCGCCGGCCGCCATTGACCACCACCGCCGCGGTCAGAGCCTCGCCGGCCGCCGGCCCGGCCGCCTCGGCCCCGAGCGAGGCCCCCACCACCGGCAGGCCCCGGCCCGAGGCCCCGGCATCCGGCACCCCGGGCCCCTGGGGCAGATCACTGCGCAGGCATTCGGCCGCATTCCAAAAGTGCACCGGGTCGCCGGCCACCGAGCCCGGGCACCCGGCCACCGTGGCCAGCGGCCCGATGAACGAGTACAGCTCCTCGGCCAGCTGGGAAAAGCCCCCGCCGGCATGGGACCCGGCCCCGGACGCCGGCCACAGCCCCGGCAGGTCGGCCGACTGCCGAGCCGGCAGGCTCAGCGGCAGGTCATCCGCCAAGCCGGCCGCCGCGTCCGGGCTCGGGCAGAACCCGGCCCACACCACCGGGGCGGCGGCTTGGCCGGTGGCCACCGGCCGCCGGACCGCCGGCCCGCCCGGCGTCACCAGAAACACCGACACCGCCCCGGCCGAGCCCCGGCACACGGCCAGCGCCACACGACGGCATGGCTCCCCCGGCCCGGCGCCCGGCGGGTCCCCCGGCGACAGCCCGCCCGCCAGCGGCCGGACCAGCGGCGAGTCCGGCCACACCGGCCAGGCCCCCGGGCCCGGCTGCCGGGCCGCCGGCCCCCCGGCATGCCGTTGGCGGCACCCCTCGCACCGGGGCAGCAGCCGCCCCGGCCCGGACAGACACGCCGGCAGCCGGGCCAATGCCAGGGCCGTGATCTCGGCCCCGGGGTCCTCGCACTGGGCGTAGGCCACCGGCTGCCGGAGGCCCGGCTGCCGGGCCACATCCGCCAGCGACCGGGGCCCGGCCGCCGGCCGCCGGCCATGCTCCTCGGCCGGGGCCAGCCCCGGCCACGGGCTCCCCGGCCAGTCGCCCAGGTCATACACGGCCACCAGCCCCGAGGCCAGCCCCGCGGCCAGGAAGGCCCCGCACCCGGAGAAGGCCAGGCTCACCACCGGGCAGACCGACCGCGCCAGCGGCACCGACGCGCACAGCGGCCGGCCCAGCACCACCGACCGCCGGCCCTGTCCGGACCCCTCCCAGCAGGGGGCCGTCAGGGTGATCAGCCCGCCGGGGCCCGGCGACGCGGTGGCCAGCCGCCCGGACCCGGGGTGCGACGCGGCCACCGGCCGCGGCCAGTCGGCCGACAGCCCGGCCGGCGCCCGCCACTGCCGCTGCTGCTGCTGCTGCTGCTTCAGCGGGTCCCCCCCGGCGAAGGCCGCCTCCTGCGGCTGGTGCACGAAGAGCGGCCCCAGGTCCGGCGGGAAGAGGGCATGCTGCAGCCCGGTCAGGGCCATCGGCTCCAGGCTGTTCCCGGAGCCGCGCGAAAACTAACACCCAAGCGAAGAGCACAAACGGTCAGCATGCGTCCATGCGCCCATGGGTCAGGGCGGGGGATAGGGAGTGAGACACCCCCGGGGGCGGTGGCAACGTGCAGCGCAAGTACATCATCATCATCATCATCATCATCATAACCATCGACGTCGTGGCCGTCGTCGTCGTGGCCGCCGCCGGTGGCCGCCCCCGCCGAGGGGGCAGCCTCATCCCAGGGCAGGATCTGGCTGGCGAGCGGGCTGAAGGACCGGGGGCCCGGGCTCGGCCCGAGCCCGGGCGCGCCGGCCGGCCCCGGCCGGAAGAACGGCGACACCGTGGCCGGGGCCAGCCCCGGCGAGGGGTACCGCGTGCCGAGGGTCAGTCGCGAGCGTAGGTGCGCCCCGCGGCCGACCGGCGTCCGGGCCAGCCCGGCCCCCCGGGGCGCCGACCCCGACGAGTAGGACACCACCCCGGCCGGCAGCGACGCCGGGGCCCAGTGGTGCGGCTGGCGCAGGGCATCCATGCCGGCGCTTGTGCGAGGGGGAAGGGGGAAACGGAAAAGGCGAAGGAGAGGAGGAAGGTCTGCGCGCGCGCTCGTGTGTGTGTGTGCGTGTGCGTGTGTGGCAACGAAGTGGCGGAGGAAGAGGGGGAAGAGTGCCACCGGCCCGGGGCCACTGGTCGGCCAGCGGCACCGGAAAAATGTCCCCCCCCCCCGCCTCGCCGCCCAGGCGGGGGGCCTCGAGTCCCGGCCCCACCTCCCGACGAGACGATCGCCCAGGTCCGCCCCCGCCTGGGGGGATCCCGCGGCCATCTCCCCGCGCCGGCCCCGCCCTCGCGCGGCGATCTGCCGCGGACTGCCGCCGTTACCACCGCCGGCGCCGGCCGGCGGGCAAAAGAGACAAGCAAAAAAAGAGACAGGGAGGGCTCTCTGCCGGTCCGCCCCCCCCCCCCCCCCGCCCCCCGTGTGGCGGCGAAGCAGCGGGCGAGAGAGTGTATTGTTTCCGTGGGTGCCACCGGATTGGCGCACAAACATGGCTCCAGCGGACGGGAGCGCCACCGGCACGCGGGGGGCCGGGGCATAACGGCCTACGAACTGCCCACGGGGAAGGGTTGGCTGTTGCTCAGAACCAGCATCCCATGCTCGTGCGACACGTAGCCCTTCATGAAGCCCTGCGTGTGTGTGTGTGTGGGGGGGGGGGGGGGCGAGGAAAAAAGCGCTCGGGGTCAGCCGCGTCGCCGGGAGACGGTGCGCAAGCAGCGAGAAGTGGGAGCCGGGCGGGAGGTCGGCGGGGCCGTCCCCTCGCCTCCGGGGCGGGGGGCGAAGCCCGCATCGCCCGGGCGCGCACCTGGTCGATCAGCGAGCTGAGCATGGTCTCGATGTGGACGAGATCGGCCTCCGCGCCCTTGTCCTCGGCCGCCGGCCGGGCGCCCTTCGCCTGGGGGTCGAGACGCGCGATGGCGTCCAGATGCCGGCGCGAGGGGCCCGACGGATCGGCGAAGGGGGTCAGCAGCTCGGCCAGCGAGGGCGCCGGCCCGGGGGCCCGGTGCGACGTGTATGGCAGGGCCGCCGGCAGCGTGCGCACCACCTCGCGGCAGGCTGCCAGCGTGGTAAGCGGCACGCGCGACGAGCCGATCGCCGCCGCACTGCCCGCGTTGAGGGGAGCCGGCGGGGGGGAGGGGGGAGGAGGGGGAGGGGGAGAAGAGGAGGAGGGGGAGAAGAGGAGGAGGGGGAAAGAGAGACACGGAAGAGAGACAAAAGGAGAGGCAGAAAGAGAGGCAGAAAGAGAGGCAGAAGAGAGACAAAAAACACACACAAAAACACACAAAAGAAGACAATAAGAGACACAAACAAAGACAATAAGAGACACAAACAAAGACAATAAAAGACACAAACAAAGACAATAAAAGACACAAAAACACACAAAAAAGAAAAAGATAGAGAGCAGACACCCAACAAGCAAACCGACACCGGTGCGTTAGACACACACGTCCAGGAGCAACAGGGCCAAAGACACAGAACAGGAGCATGGAGGGCCATACCTGCGCCGGACGAGGCTGGCCCAGGTGCAGATGCGCGCGCGCTCCCACAGCAAGAGCAGCCGCCACCGGGCCAGCCAGCTGCTGCAGGACCCGAGCACCGCATCGAAGAGCCCCAGATGCCCGGCCACCACCGCATACAGCAGGGCGTAGCACGGCGCCGGCAGGTGCCCCAGCACCACCGGGCCCTTGCCGGCCCCCGGGCGCTGGTAACTCCCAGCCAGCCAGGCCGTCGTGGCCGGCCCATACAGCGCCTGCTCCACGGCATATGGCCGGCCCCAGCGCGAGCCCGCCGAAGGGCCGCCCAGGTACACCCGCAGCCCGGCCAGGCCCACCGGCCGGTTGAGGATCAGCGAGCAGGGCACCAGGTACATGAGGATTAGACTGGAGGGCGCGGTGAAGACCACCCACCGGCACCGGCAGCAACAGCAGCAACAGCAGCAACAGCGCCAGGCAAGTGGCCAGGCCGCGAGGGAGGCAGCGAGGCGCGCCCGGGCGCGCCGGAAACCCCGGTCGAGTAAGCGCCGTCCGTCAGTTGGCTGGCCCGGCAAGCCGGCAGAGGAAGGGACACAAGGGAAGGCCCGAGCTGACGTACCGGCGATTGGTGGCGCTGGCGTTGACGCGTGGCGAGCGCCACAGCAGCGAGAAGTCCTCGAAGGCCGCCTCAATGCGCGACGCCTCGATCGACCGCAGGGCACGCAGGAAGATGCTCACGATGTTCGGCGACCCGAGGTCCCCGTGGAAGGAGTAAAACCGCGAGGCCAGCGACGCCGGCGGGTAGATGGCCGCCTGCACCGCGCGATAGATGGCCTCCATTTCGCGATGGCGCAACAACTGCCCACATTCCCCCCGGCGGAGTCGCCGGGCCGCCGCCCACCAACACCACCACCCCAGGCACGGGAGTCAGAACCACAACCACAAAAGAGGGACGCCGGACACGGGCCCAGCGAGGGAGGCCAGAAAAAAAAAAAAAAAAAAAAAAGGGTGGGGGGGAAAAAAAATGGCGGGGGGCCCCGCGCACCAGGAACAGCACGCGCGAGTATTCGTTGGCCAGCGTGGCCGCGGCCCAGCGCCGGGCCCCGCCGCCGCCGCCCATGATCATCTGCTGGGTGACGCTGTGCAGCAGGGTGGCACACTGGCGCAGGAGGCCCTGGGCCAGGTCCCGCCGGCGCTGGCCGGCCGCCCCGCGCGCCGCCAACGCATCCAGCGCCACCGAGCTCCGGGAGGCCGTGCGCAACAGGTCGTCGGTCGAGTCGCCGGGCTCGGCGGCCGAATCGTCGGCCGCCAGCAGCAGCAGACGCCGCGCCACGGCGTATGTGGCCAGGCGGAAGCTCCGCGCCAGGCTCGCCCCGAGCCCGGCATAGAAGAGGGCATTGCCCCGCAGGTGCGGCTGCAGCGACGTACAGGCGGCGCAGGGAGGAACCAGCAGGGGACATCGGCAGGGGGGGGGGGGAAGGCGGAAGTTAAGGAGACACCGTTCACATGGCCATTCGGGCGGGGAAGGAGGGGAGAGAGAGAGAGAGAGAGAGAGAAAGCAGGGCCGAAGGGGACAGGGGGCGGGGCAGGAAAAGGGACGGGAAAAAAAGAAGCGGGCGAAAGCGCGCATGCCGGCGAAGCGCCAATGTAGGGCGGCATCCGCCGGCATGACACAGGCAACCGGCACAGGAAGGATATTGCAAAGCGGCCTGCGTGGCCAGCAGCTCGCCGAGAGCGCACTCCAGCAGCAGCGCGTCGAAGGACCCGACCGCCAGTGGGCGCACAATGGCCGCCACCCGGGCCGCGGCCCGGCCCTGGCCGGCCAGGCGGTGCCAAAACCGCCCGGCCATGGCCTCGGCCGGCGCACCGCCACCAGGCAGCAGCAGCCCGGCCAGCGGCGGCGGCGACGGCCGGTGCTGCTGCGGCAACCCCCGCGACGAGGCCACCGGCGGGGTGCCGTCCTCGCGCAGGAACAGCGGGTCGGCCAGCGCCTCGGCCAGCAGGGCCGCCGCCGGGGCGGCCGCGGCGCCCTTGCCACCGGCCGCAGGCTCGGCCGGGCAGCCCGACGGCAGCACCGCCCCGGGGTCCGCACCGGCGGCATACTTCGCGGCCCCGGCGAAGCCCCGGTCGCGGGCCGCCTGGGCCAGCTGCTCGGCCCGCGCGCGCCAGCCCCACCCCGTCACCACGGCCTCCAGCAGGTCCGCCATCCAGCCGGCCAGGCCCGGCGCGCCGGCCACCGCCATCTGGTCGCTCAGCAACAGGACCAGAGCCGGCCCGGCGGCCCCGACGCCCGAGGCCCCGCTCGTGCTGGCTGCCAGCCCGGCGCCAAGGACCCGGGCCAGCCCCAAGCGCCGGAGGTAGTCGGCCCGGAAGTCGGCGTCCGGGCCCGGGGCAGCGGCCGCCGCCGCCGCCGCCGCCGCCGCCGCCGCCAATGCTGAGCCGCCGCCGGCACCCGGCCAAAAGAGCCCGGCCGTGCCCGGGTCCCGCGGCGCTCCGCACGGCAGGCTCAGCAAGCGCCCAAGCAGGTCGGTGCGCTCGACCCCGGCCGCGATGGCCAGCTGGAAGCGCGCCGCCGGCGTCCCGGCGTCAATCTGCCCGAAGTCGAAGTCGGCCTCCAGCCGCGGGTCATCCCCGGAGGCCGAGGCCCCCGGCTCGGCCAGCAGCTCCGCCGCCCGGGCGAAGTAGCCCAGCACGGCGGCGCGGCTGGCCGGGTCGGCCGGCGCCAGCGGCGCCCGCAGCGGGCCCGGCCCGGCGCCCAGGCGCGTCCCGGGGACCGCCTGCGGCCCGGGCCCCGGCGACACGGGCGGCGAGGCGCGCTTGCGCGTGCGCTCGCCCTCCTCGCTGGCGCCGCCATCGGCCGGCGCCGCATCACGCGCCCGGCGCCGGGTGCCGGATGCCGACCCGGCACCGGACCGGGCCTTCGCCCTCGTCTGGACAGACCGCGGGGGGGCCATGGCTACAGCGGGCGATAAGAGACAACAAAGGGGGGGGGGGGAGGGGAGGGAGGGAGGGAGAGGAGGGGGGAAAAGGGGAAAAAGGAAGGAGCAAATGCGGCGAGAGGCGCGGATCGACTCTAGAGAAGGCGCGGCTAGCCCCCGGGGCCCGGCCGAGCCCCCTCCCCCGGCACCGGAGCGGCTCTTGTCCCCCCGCCGCAGGACGCGTGCGTTGGCACTTGGATGGAAAGCAGTTTATCGAGATATAATGTACAGAGAAGGTGAAGGTGAAAGGGGGGGCGGGGGGCGGGGGGGGGCGGGGGCGACCCGCAACAGGCGAGCCCCGGGAAAGGGCGGAGACCGCGGAGGGCGGGGCGGGGCCGTGCCTCGGGGGCGCGGGGCGCAGCCGGAGGACCGGCGGCAACGGCGACGGCAGACGCGGGAGGGGGGGGGGCGGCGGGAGGGACGGAGCCGGCCCGCCCCGGGGCCGGGGGGCCGGGGGGGGGGGCGGGCGGCGGGCGGCAGCCGGGTCCGGCCTGCGCGCGCGCGCGCGGAGCATGCGCAGTTCCGCCCGCTGCCTGGCCTGCCCCCGCCCGCCCCGGCCGGCTTCGCGCGCCTCAGCCCTCCTGGCGTCAGAGCCCCCCCGGGAAGTAGGCGTCCTGGAGCAGGTCGCCCGGCCCGGCGCCCGGTGGCACCCGGCCGCCATCCGGATCGTCGCTCCACTCGTTGTCGCTCATGTAGTCGATCATCCACGAGGAGAGGGCCATGTGCTGGTCGCTGGCCGCCTCGGCCAGGAGGTCGGCGCTCCGGCGCGACAGCTCCGCCGCCGGCTTCGAGCCCCGCGGCCCGGCCGCCGGGGCACCAGGCGCCAGGGACGTGCCGAAGAGCGTGGCCGCCGACGCATCCGAGGCCGACCGCGCGGCCGGCACCGGCCGGCTCGCCCCGCCGCCGGGAATGTCCCCTGCCGCCGTGGCCACTGCCACTGTCGCCTCTTGTTGCTGCGGCTGCGGCAGCGGCTGCGGCTGCGGCTGCGGCTGCTGCTCCGGTCGCAGGGTGTACGGGTTGGTGGTGAAGTCGTCCCCGACATCGCCAAACTCATCGAGAGTCGAATAGTCGTGCTGCAGCAGGAAGGACACGCCCCGGGCCCGGCCCCCGGCCCGGGGATTGCCCAGCCCGGCGGCCGTGAACGAGCCGGACCCCGGGTCGGCCATCGACCCGAAGGTCGTGGTCGAGTGCCGGGCCCATGCCCGGCCGACGTCCGAATCCAGCGACATGGTGGACATGCGCCGGCTGTCGGCGTCCGAGGCGTCGGCAACACGGGCACCGCCGCCGCCGGAGCCGGCCCCGCTGGAGCTGCCGCCGGTGCCGCCATCGTGCCGGGAGCCCGCGGCGCGGCCGGTCGACCGGGCGTCAAGGCGCTCCGCCTCGGAGCTCAAATCCACGGCCTCCTGGTAGGGATCGAAGTCCGGCGGCCGGCGGTGCGGCACCAGCCGCGGCCAGAACACCAGCAGCAGGGCAATGGCGAAGATGGACGCAAAGAAGCACGCATACAACAACGCATCACCCAGGGGATTCAGGTCGTAGAAGACCACCGACAGCATGTGCCCCAGGGCCCGGGCAAAGAGCGTGGCCCCGAGGATGATCGGAATCAACAGCGAGTAGTACATGGGCCCGGAAATTTGGATGAACATCATCATGGAGAAGGACTGCAGCAGCGGGTAGCCGATGGCGAAAAACAGGTCGAACACCAGGAACCGCCAGATGGGGGTGATCTCCTTGGAGAAGCTGTTGGCTCCGATCGAGCCGACTGCATCGCCCGGGCAAGCGCGACATCATTAGTATCATTCGGCCGGCGGCCACTGTCCTTCCCCTGCCCTGGCCCGCGCGGCCGCCCACGGCCCCACCCTCGCGACACCAGCGCCCGGGGCACCCCTCGCTCCCGCCCTGGCGGCTGGGGAGGGGGGGAGAGGGAGAGGAAGGGGGGGGGGGGGGGGGGACAAAGACGCACCTGCCATGATGACCAGCCCCAGCAGCATGCCAATCCGGTAGTTGGGGAAGATATTGGCCAGCCGGAAGATGAAGACCGTCAGCGAGGAGAGGATGGCCAGCACGGCGTAGAAGTAGGACACCGCATTCAGGTCCCAGTCGTAGAGCTCCGTCAGGAAGGGCGGCGTGGCCGTGAAGAGGGCCGAGCACACCAAATTCCCCACGCCCGAGAGGGTGGCCGTGATGAGGAGGGCCCCGCGGTCGACGCCGCGCATCCTGAACATGCTGAACAGCTGCATGACATTCTCGCGCTTGATGGCGCGGCGGAGGCGCCGCTGGGGGGGTGGGGAAGGTGGGGGGACGAGGGAAGAGGAGCAGAGACAAGTGGAGCAGAGACAAGAGGAGCAGAGACAAGAGGAGCAGAGACAAGTGGAGCAGAGACAAGTGGAGCAGAGACAAGAGGAGCAGAGAGAGAAGAGAAAGAGAGGAGAAGAGAAAGGAAAGAGAGAAGAGAAAGGAAAGAGAGAAGAGAAAGAGAAGAAACAAGCAACAGAAGGCAGGGGCAATCCGAAAAAGGGCTCCACGTCAGACACCGCCCGTGGCAGGCACACAGAAGAAAAAAAACGACAACGAACCCGCTCTTGCTGACGATGGAAAGAATCCAGCGCCTCCTGCTCGGCCTCCGACAGGGACGGCCGCCGCGGGGGCGCATTGGCGTCCGAGGCCGAGGCGCCGGCCACCTCACCGGCGGCCACGCCGTCCGGAGGATTCACCGGAGCCGTGGCCTCGGCCGCGCTGTAGGGCTCATCGCCATCGGCCAGCAGCGGCTGTGCCAGATTCCCCTCCGAAGGGTCGGCCGCCTCCTCGCCGGAGCCCACCAGCGTCGGGCGCCGGCTCGGCACCGATTGCAAGCTCAGCGCCTGCCCGGCCACCAGGAGGACCTGCGTCGGGCGGTACTCATCGAACAGGAAGATGGCGATGGCCACCAGCACGAAGGAGAAGACAATGGACAGGAGCCCCGGCGCGCGGAACGGCGTGATGAGGATTTTGCCTGCACCCAACCGCACGAAAGGCAGCCGGACGGGACGGGAGAGAGGCAGGGAGAGAGAGAGAGAGGGAGGGAGAGAGGGAGAGGGAGAGAGAG